GAAGGAACCTGACTCCGTGTGCCAGGGACTCGGATTTCTCCGCGTTGGCACTCTCCATTCTGCAGCTCTGCTCCTGCTGCCCGTGGTTATCCCACCCCCCAGCACCTTGGAAAGATAACTGCTGACTGCACACAGCGAGAGAGCCATCTGCTTGCAAGCAGGACACGTACATTCCTGGCGGAGGGATTTGTCAGGAAAGGCTCTCCCGTCGCGCCGGACCGGACGAGACAAATCGCTCGCCTCCCTCAGAGCTCCTGGGAGCTCCCAGAACATGCAGCGGTTTGGCACCGACACACAAGTCCCTTGAGAGAGTCCCCTCGGCTCCTGGAGACTCCCTCTCCAAGCACCAAGACCTGAGGGCAAAGTTTCCCCACCTGCTGCAGCCGTTTTGCACCGGGAAGCACCCAGGAAATATTGCTGTGGCAGCCGGGGCTCGGCAGTGCCACCAGAGAGAAGCCAACAGGTTACTCCACGTTTGCCAGGGACACACCAGTGCTGTGTAAGAGGTTATTCAGCGGCCCTGCTCCTGCTGTGTGACCACACTGCCCCGAAGAGCCCGGGAACAGAGCAGGAAAACGAGAGGAAGCCTCCTACCTGCGGAGAGCAGGAGGCACGAGTGCCACAGCAGCTGAGGGAGACAAAGATGTCTCCACCGAGGGGGTCAAAGCCACCCAGGAGGCCTTTGCTGTCACACTGGCATCAAAAGACAGGCTGAAACAGCGGCTGAACGAAGCACCAAATAGAAAAGGGGAAAAAATGGAGAAAAAAAAAGAAAAACAACCTGACTCTGGTTTTCAAGACTTTGATCAGCGACTGAATCTCCTTTGATAAAATGTCTCTCTGAAGAAGGGGCTGGAAGAAATCACAGAGCTTCACAGTGAGCTTAATTTGTTGGTGCAACAAGCACAGCCTGTAATTACATGCTACCATCACCCAAGCATGAATTTCGCCTCGTGAACAAGCCTCGGGTTCTGAAACAACATTACTTTTAAACTTCAGCCCATTTTACTGGGATTTTCCTTCAACTTCAATAATTATTTGGGGGGATGCTTCATTTCTCACTCCAGTTGGCTCCAGCTTGGTACAAGCTCCCCCCGGTCACGCCATCACATGACACCCAGAAGCACTCAATGAATTTCTTTGTTCCATTTCTGACTTCATGCTATAGCAAATAAGCACATTTTAACAAGCCACACAAACAGAACCCACAAAGGGAAACTGTGGCAGGTTTGTCTCTGCAGCGGGAAATACAACTCGGGCAAAAAAAGTTAAAATACTTGATTTAATAATGTTTTGTTCTTATTCAAGCTCAATTAAAATAATTGCAGCAGCACCACACACACTCCAGAAACATTCAGCTTGTTCGGTCTGTTAATCATTAGGTTCTGTTTTGAAATGTACAGGTAGGTTTTCTTTGAAGTCAACTGCTCTCTATTAGGTTCAGATTTGTGTTTTGGGGTGTCTGCTTTGAACCACCTGATAGCAAAATGTGGGCCTAGAGTAAGGATAGAAGTGGTGTATCTAACAGCTTTGCTATGTAGTTTAATGCTTAGACTGATTTTAAGAGCAAGAGGGGACAGCAATCAACTTGGGCTTCATTTAAGATGTGTAAAACACTCCAGTAAGGGTCAGTTTGGGTTTTTTTTTGCAGTAGCTCTGTCAATTTGTAAACACACAAACGTCCTGCCAACTTCTAGCATCAGCGGTTGACTGAGACCGGAGTGTAACTTCAGAAAGGAATGGTCTAAAGACAGGAGATCTGTGGGTTTCCAAAGACAATCTGAGACTCAGTACAGTCTGTTCATTCACAAATATCAAGCAAAAGGGAAAACAGATCCAAAGGCTACAGAGGGTCAACATAAAGATGGCTCACTATGATTCACAGAACGATCTGGGTGTAAAACCCAAAACAAATCCACAATAAACAGATCTGGGTGTAAAACCCAAAACAAATCCACAATAAACAATCCACACCCCCCCCCAAATGCTTCTACACGTGCACACTGTCTGTTCCTACCCAGGAGATGGGAAGATCTTCCTCCACTTCTTGAAAGCAGCTAAAGCTTCCTGGACATTATCACTGTACAGTAACAAATGTCTGACAGGGGGTTATAACAGAAATAACCTGAGGGCCCGGAGCAGGGCTGTAGTTAGTTATTTCAGCAGTAAGCAGTTTAAGGCAAAATGGACTGTTTAATAAAATGTGTAGTCTGAGATGGAGTTATTTGGAACACTCCAAGTGTACTTTAATGAAAATAAAGGGACAGGAGATAACACTGTTCTAAGGGCCAGCCAGGATTCATCAAGGTCTAATTCCCCAAAGCTTTGCTGCTGTTCACAGCACTCTGCTGTTCAGGTTTTATTTAGACTACAGTGACTTTGCCCAGCGCAAAACCTCATCTATGAGACCTCCACAGTCAAGAAAGCTCTTGAGAAAGACACTGCTACCCAGGTTTAACACACCCATGCTATATAAAATGCCATACTTTTCAGCAGCTGTTTGCATTATGATAAATTGGCAGAACTGGCTCCCCAAGCAAACCTACAAAATAAACACTGAGCTGCCTGCACAGCACCCAAGCTCTCGTAACAACTGCCCCCTTCTGAAGAAAAAAATATCACCAGGACTCACTAATCTGAAAGAGATACAACATAAACTGCTGCCACAGGTCAAGGGTTTGATAATGGCAGTGGGCTCCACGCTTCCCACATCACCTCCCGAGCCAGCTGTGCATCTCATGTTCACAGCAGCATTGGGGTTGAAATTCCTGAGCCTTCCCCAGATTCCATTCAGAGAGAGATGCCTCTCTGATGCCATGCAACGCCTCACTTGGCTCCAAATTAAAGGGTCTGTTCAGTTTAAGCACTAAACTGGGAGGACAACAATGATGTCCTGAAAATAAAATTAAGGGCAAGTAACAACGCAATTACGTTTTTTTTTTAAAGCTGGTATTTTATTTTGTTGAAAGTTTCTGCAATTCTTTTTTGAATACCTTTGTCTCATGAATTGGTGTTCTTGGCAGTAAAGCACCTTATTCATTTCAGTCAAACAGCTTCCAAATTGGATGGGGGGAATGTGAAAAAACACAAATCAAATTCAACATACCTAACTGCATTTTAATCTAAATCTTCACCAAGGCCCTGAACTTTAAAAATTTCCTGTTTGAAGGCTGTGCTACAGTTATATGCTCCATCCTTGGGTGCAACCAATGAATTAAATAACTTTTTCCAGTCTGGTGTTGATGTATGGGTAAAAATAATTCCTCTGATGGAATACAGTGTCTTAAATTAAGGAACTCCAAAAGGTTTGATGTTCATACTGTTATCTCCCCTTAGAGAGAGACAACCTTAATTTGTTTCAATGGAAGTGTTTCAGCAGGGCATCAGGGCTCCTTTCCAGCTCAGTTCCCAATCTGAAGCTGACTCAAGGCTTCCCATTAACTCTCCCTTCAGTCACTGAGTAGGAAGGGAAAACAGTCTTAAGTTGCTTATTTTTGATGAAGCTGACCCATCCATTCATAGGAGGAAAGAAGAGCACAGAGCAAAGAAGAAAGCTGTGCTTGTTTCCCTGTACAAATAAAATTATGTGCATGACAAGTGTGCTGCTTAAGAGAAATGGTCACAACAAACCAGCTTATAACCACAGTTCTGGCTACAAACAATTGCAATACTTCCTTCTCACAAGGAATAACAGGGCCCCACACCCTGAGCATTTTAAAATACAGACATCTAAGTGTCATAAAACATCAGAAATATTTTGTCAAAGGGTTCAAGAAACCTTATGGCAAAAGTCTCAGAAATTCCCTCCAAGCATAGTTGTCCCAGGGGAAGGACAGAATATTAAATGGTCCCAGTGTATTTTACTTCCTGGAAAACAGGGAGAAGAGCCCTCTACAATGCCTATTCACAAACCCTTGGAGCTGTATCAGAATGTCAGTTTTGAGCCCAAAGATACTTTCTAAAACAACAACAAAAGATTTTTTTTCTGAACACTAGAAATACCAACAAAAGGAGGCGAATGATTTCAAATCCTTCTAAAGTATCAGCCTTTCTCAAACACAGCCCTGTTCTCTTCTGAAATACCTCTGTGTAATAATGAAACAGAAATAAAAACATTTCTGTTCAGAGTCCTGATCTGGAGAGAAAAGGTATTTCATTTACTAAGCATCTCATGAATCTGATCTTACCAAAAAAGATCTCAATAGCTTTTCATACTGCAGTGGGATTTTTCTTATCATTAAATGGCAAGGGACTCGACCAAGGTGGAATAAACCAAGTATAGTACCAACAGTACCAATAATTCCTGGTACTGTTCTAAGGGAAGCAACCTGGTTAAAACAGTGATGTGGGGAAAAAAGCACTTCAAGCACCCAAAAGTGGAAAACACCAAGGAAAGTAGGGGCAGGCAGTAAGACTTGAACCTGGCAGGTCAAGTCAGAAATAATGTAGCTCGTACTCCAAAAAGTCAATTAGAAAATAATCAAGTTAGCATAGGCACTGTTGTTACATCTGTAACTCTAATTAATAGCAGAACATTTCTGAAGTGGTAGGAGTAGTATTCCAGCAAAACACATCCTCTGTACAAGTCTCAACAGGTACAGGAAAAACATACACAAAGCTATAAGTTCAGTGCTATTTTACGGATTATGGTACCTCCTCACACCATGTTTTCACAGGTATTAACACACCCACCACACAGAAAATTTGTTTTCCATTCCTGGAAATAAAACATACTGCTAGAAACCAACCATGCAAATTATACACAGCAGAGAATTATGGCACGTTCTTACGTTTTCTTCCTCAGGATCCACAGCAGCCCTGGCACTTATTTACTAACCAACCCAGTACCTGGAAGAACTGTGGAGTTATCGTTCCAAAGGGTTGACCTGGATGGATAACAGGACTATAAAGTGCTTCAGATATGATAAATGTGGCATTAAAATTTCAGGCACATGACAGTTCTGACTGCCTTTGATTTCTGCAAACAGTAACTAAGATACCTGAGTTTATCAGCCTGCAGTGATGACAGCGTTGCCTCGATCACAGCTGCAATGAGTGACCACCAGTGAACTACAACAGCTAGTAGCCATTCACCAAGTTTAAGTTGCCACCAGCGTGGAAAACCAACCCACTGCTTCGTTGCCACTTCCTTCATGAGTCACTTCCCTACGATCCACTCACACGGGCAAGGACAGGACTCTCCCAGAGCTCAGGTGACATCACCAGGGCAAGGCTGCAGGGATCATTTCTGATGTCCTCTCCTCCAGCCCCGGTTAGTCCCACGGGTTTCTCCATCCAAATCCTGCTTCAGAGCAACCCAACTGCTTCCAGCACTCTAAGAAAATCAAACGTAAGGGACATTTCCTCATTTCCTTGTATTTCAACCAT